TGGACATAAAAGCGGCATTTGACTCAGTGGATCGTGAGGTTATGTGGCAGTGTCTGTCATTGAAACGTGTACCGAAGAAGTAGATTAACCGCACACAAGCTCTCTACTCGAACACCACTGGTCGAGTGATAGCTTGTGGCGAACTGTCACCGGAATTCTTCACTTCGAGTGGTGTCCGTCAGGGATGTCCACTCTCTCCATTTTTGTTTAATTTTATCATAGACATGCTCCTAGAAATAACCTTATCCTCGTCTGAATTTTCAGGAGTAGACCTTTTACCTGCTGGCTCGCTTATTGACATAGTCCTACTTGGTGAAGACGCTGACAAAATGCAGAGTCTTCTGACTACCCTAAGCAACAATGCGAGCATGGTCGGGATGCGGTTTTCCCCCTCGAAATGCAAAATGTTGCTTCAAGACTGGGTTGCTCCGGTACCTGAACTAGTGATAGGGAGTGAAGTAGTCGAACGTGTAGACCGCGTCACTTATCTTGGGAGTCTCATCAGTGCCGATGGCCTGGTGACTGACAAATCTCAGCTCGGATACAGAAGGCTCGATTGGCTTTTGCCAACCTGCGTCACTTATGGCGAAGGCGAGATATCCGTTTGCTGACTAAAGAACGAGTGAACTGCTCAGTGCTTCGCTCCGTCTTACTTTATGGCTGTGAAACATGGCCAATGAGAGTAGAAGATATTCATAGGTTTTGATCAGAGTTGTCTTCGAAGCATTGCACGTATATCCTGGGACAACCGAGTGAGCAATGCTGTTATTAGGAATCGGGTGCTAGGTAAGAATGGTAGATCAATAGATGAAGTAATGAAACTTCATCAGTTGAGGTGGTTGGGACACGTGTTGCGTATGCCTAACCACCGACTGCCTCGTCGAGCCTTGTTTTGTAGTGTAGGAATAATTTGGAAGAAAGCTAGGGGCGGCCAAACCAAAACATGGCACAAATCCATGAAGTCATTGACAAGTGGACTGAGTCATGTCGGTAGGTGTCGACTACCTGGTTGGGGTCCGCGAGATGATAATAATCGATGGTTAGAGACCTTGAATGACATGGCTCAAAATCGTTCGCAATGGCGCCGGTGCATTTATTCTTTGTGTTCTCTCAAATCCTAATCTTCTGGATTCTTCAACCCCTATAGTTTTGACTTTCTAAACTTTTCTCACTGAATCATACTTCTTGAATAATATCTTCTAATCCTAACCTCTCCGATTACTTCTAGTACCTATACTACCTCTTCTACTATTGGATTTGAATTGACAATTGCATCTCTGTGCTGATGTGGTATGGCGACATGAACTGATGTACTTACGTACGTACGAAGTTCTACGTTGCAACTGACTGACTGACCCATTCAACGTCGAAGCAGCGTCCACGGACATCCCCATCAATGTCGACTCACCAATAATTGAGGAGATCAGTATGGCCATCAGATATATCAAAAGCGACAAAGCAGCGGGATTAGAAAACATTTCAGCAGCGACAATAAAAGCAGACCTGTTAGAAACTGCAAAAATATTTCAAATTCTCTTCAACAAGGTTTGGGATGTAGAACAAGTACCAACAGACTGAAAAGAAGGATATCTCATCAGAATACGAAGGAAAGGCGATCTCAGTAGGCACGACAACTACAGAGACATCACAATTATCTCAATACCAGGCAGCGGGTCTCAACATACACAAAGGGAAAAGCAAGAGCCTCTGATACAACACAATATGCGCCAACTAAATCACTCTTGATGGAGATGCCTTGGAAAGCGTGAAAACCATTACATATCTGGGCAACATCATTGATAATTAAGGTGGGCCAGATTCCAGCGAAGGAAAAAGTCGGGAAGAAAAGATGGAAGTGGATAGGACACACACTGCAGAAAGCACCCAACTGCGTCACAAGACAAGCCCTCACTTGGAATTCTCAACATCGATGAAAAAGAGGAAGGCAAAGGAAAACATTTCACTGAGAAATGGAGACAGACATGAGAGGAATGAACAAAAATCGGACGGAACTGGTATGGGAAGTTCAGGACAGAGTAGGCTGGAGAATGCTGGTCGGTGGCCTATACTCCATCAGGGGTAACAGGTGTTAGTAAGTACTTGAGCATTAAAGTCACCAGCCACTATGACTAAATCAGAGCGTCTAAATTTTGGAGAAGGTTGGAGAGCTTTCTGTAAAGTTCATCTTTTATCTCAACTGAGCTGAAATCAGTGGGAGCGTAACAACAGATGACGAAGAGGCAACGGCGGGTGACACTATCTAACGAGTTATTAGTGTCCCGTTTAGTTGGACAGACCATAAGAGATTAACTACTGGGACCCAGTCTAAGATAGCTAGCAATGCCGTAGGACTCGATGCTATAACAACACCAGTGGAGCGGCGGGAAGCAGCAACAGGTCTTCCAGATACACTCAGCATAAATTGAATTGATTCTCTATCTAGACAATGTGAAGTCAAATGAAGGATTCATCTTGCGCGTTTCGGAGAAGCAACATATATTGATGGCACGAGATTCTAAAGTCCTAGCTAAGAAAGCTTGCTGACCTATTTGACACGAGGTTTGAACATTAAAAGCTCAAACATGTAGTTTAGAGCGTGCGTGATTTCAAGATAACAAGAATAACGTTTCATGTGCTCAAATCGTTAGCATTAGTGGCGCGATGTGATAAAAGTTTGGTCATGGAGATAAAAGGGTTATTGCGAGGTAAGTGAGAGATTTGATTATGATTAACTTGGTTTCGTGTGCTGTTACGGTTATGAAGGTGGATGTCTTTTACCGGCTGACCACATCGTGGAATGGTAGTGGTTGAAGAACTTGAACAGGAAGTCACATCAGAGTTTATCTTAGCCATCTGTGACCGCAGAGCACAAAGAATGACTGCTTGATGCTGGTAACGCACGGCGTTTTATGGGAGGTTGTTGTCTTAGCGCGGCTCTTCAAAAAGCCTTAGCATTGGAGACGGAAATCCGTTGGGTGAGGTATAACATATTTAGGGTCGACCTCTTGAAACCCCTTCCTTCCTTTATGAAGACAGCATCGCTGCAGATGCTGGTTGTCCGAGGGAAACACCTTACTCCTGTCACACCCTGGTACAGTCAGCAGTATGACTTCACCCTCAGACCTTGAGTAGCTGTTTTAGTCTCATTGTTCTTCAATCGACCTGTCTGGCATGGTAGAACCTTCAGGAACATATGTTCTTGCCAATATAACTCGGTTTGGTCGTCACAATAGGCAAGCCCGACAACCACGTCAAGGAACGAATGGCGCATGAAACTAATGTTAGCCGCTGGTTACAATGGGATGAGTAGCCGATTAAGAAGATCAACTGCATGGGTTCGAGCACTAACTCAAAAGTTCAGTAATTTGCGTGACGCACGTAATTTCTGGTGCTCCATCATATCAATACTAACGATGAAATGAAATAAATCAATAAGTTTTTGAATCTTACCAGATGTAGAATGCCATTCTGGTGCACTAGCAAGCTGTAGTGCCTCCACATATATTTCACTTCTCTCACATCTAACTTGGTTAAGCCTTTCGATTAATTTATTTAACCAAGCCATTCGCTTAGCAACAACTTGTATGTACAATTGGTATTTTTTATTATCTGGTTTGTATGAGCTAGTATGACTGAGCATTGCTTAACGCCTACGCATATATGCATCCTATTCGCTTTAATATTAATCTCTTAAATAACACGATGACTCAGACATTTTCCTTTGTATGTATACGAACATTTTTATCTTATTAATTCATTCGCACATTCGCACATTCGCATATTCACTCGCTAGTCTGTCTGCCCGGTCTGTCTGTGGTCTGCTGTTATTAATTGTGGTGTGCTTCAATAAACGTATACGCTACTTGGAATTCATCTTCTGATTTATTAACCGTCAGACGTCAATTGGATAAGGTAGTCTGAACGAGCTTATCACGAAACGTAAGAACACGCATTAAATCGGCACACCTCAAAGCATTAAAGCTGATGACAATTTAATCAGATACATTCCATAAACATCTGGACAAATACTACGTAGTATCATATTTCTACCTTCTAATATTGCATGGAAATTTATAAATTTATTCCAAAATAATTCATATTCTAATGCATGTTCATGTGAAATTTGACTAGAGAGTGGTTTCAGGATAACAAGAATAACGTTTCATATACTCGAATCGTTAGCATTATTGGCGCGATGTGAAGAAAAAGAATGTGAGAAAAGTTTGGTCATGGAGATAAAAGGGTTATTAAGAGGTAAGTGAAAGATTTGATTATGACTAACTTGGTTTCGTTTGCTATTACGAGTATGAAGGCGGATGTCTTTTACCGGCTGACCACATCGTGGAATGGTAGTGGTTGAAGAACTTGAACAGGAAGTTACAGAAGAGCTTATCTTAGTCATCTGTGACCGCAGAGCACAAAGAATGACTGCTTGATGCTGGTAACGCACGGCTTTTTATGGGAGGTTCATAACGTCTTAGCGCGGCTCTTCAAAAAGCCTTAGCATTGGAGACGGAAATCCGTTAGGTGAGGGTGTGATATATTTAGGGTTTACCTCTTGAAACCCCTTCCTTCCTTTATGAAGACAGCGTCGCTGCAAATGCTGGTTGTCCGAGGGAAACACCTTACTACTGTCATACCCTACTACAGTCAGCAGTACGACTTCACCCTCAGAACTTGAGTAGCTGCTTTTAGTCTCATCGTTTTCCAGTCGACCTGCCTGACATGGTAGAACCTTTAGGAACATATGTTCCAGTCAATATAGATCGGTTGGGTCATCACAATAGGCAAGCCCGACCACCACGTCAAGGTGGCCGCTACAGTCAAGGAACAAATGGCGTATGAAACTAATATTGGCCGCTGGTTACAATGGGATCAGCAGCCCATCAAAAGAAGATCAACTGCACCAGTTTGAGCACTCCCTCGAAAATTCAGTAATTTGTGGTGTTCCATTATACAAGTACTAAAGCAAAGAATTTAAAATCTTTTTTGAATCTTACCAGATGTAGTATGCCATTCCGGTGCACTAGCAAGCATTAAAGCTGATGACAATTTAATCAGATACATTCCATAAACATCTGGACAAATACTACGTAGTATCATATTTCTACCTTCTAATATTGCATGGAAATTTATAAATTTATTCCAAAATAATTCATATTCTAATGCATGTTCATGTGACATTTGACTAGATCCACCGCCAGCTTTAAGTTCAGTTAAATTTTCAATATAATTTGCTTTTAAATAAGTGAATATTTCACATGGATCACCTTCTTTGATACAACGCCATCGATGTGTTACAATACCGTTAATTACTATTTCATCACCAGGTTTAACACATTCTAATAAATCATCTTCTAAGCATACACATATAGAACGGCGCATTACACCAACAGTAAGACAATCAAATTGTTCATGTACATAAATTTCTTGATAATTTTTTGCATAAAATTCTGTATTCGATGACGAAATACACTTGAAATTCATTGAATGATATGATTGTTTACAATTCGCACAATAACGTGGTGGTTTAATAGTATAGAAATTTTCAAAATTAGCATATACATTCACTGTAGCATTACATTTAGTACAAGAATATTTAATTTTATGCTGTATCACTTGTACTGGACAAATACGACTAACAATCGCTCTTAATGCTATTAATTTTTTAATATCAATTGATGTTGGTATATGATTTTTATAAACTTCTGGAATAATTGGTAAAGCGGTTAAACGAATATGTATATTTTGTTGAAGATTATTGATTGATTGTTTCGTTTGTGTGGATTGTAGAATTTGATAAATACTTTTATTTAATAAATTTAATGTTTTTTCTGGTTTTGATAAAATTAATTCTGAAAAAATACTATTAAATTCGCATAAATTATTAAAATGTACAATAATCGACTGATGTGGTTCTGATGATGATAAGGTTGATAATGATAATTTACAAATATCACTTCGATGTTCACTTTGTAAATATTCGGAAAATAATGTAATTATTGATTCATCATTCATTGTGCTGATTTGTTTGTGATAAGTTTAGAGAAATGATTGAATTTCATTGTTTCATTCATCTGGAAAGTTAGAAAAAAAGAGAAGTTGACAATAAATATAATACTTGTCAAATTTTGAAGAACAAAATCATATAAATAATATTAAAATTACAAACGTCCTCTGGATTGTATTTAGTAGTTAACAGTTTATCTTTAGATAATCAAGTCAGACAGCTACAACATAGAACCGTGTGAGCACAGAGCTTCGTTCAAATTATCATACCACATTAACACACATAAATCGAATTGTCCGTTCGAATTCCATAGTAGTATATGTAGTAAAAGTATTAGAGGCTTCAGACAACAGCAACATTTAAAAATAATTTGAATCGATTGAGAGCGTTATATCCCAGTCAACCAAGAACTAAGCCCGTGAAAAGAGACTATCGGTTTAAGTCGATATACGTTTGGACAACAGTCCAGGATAATTACTTGTATACAGCCAACGTTATATCACATCCAGTAGGGTCAAAAGACACAATTAAATTAACTCGGAGTTGGATTCCATCTTTTTTTCGACTGATCAATAGCTGGAACAACCTATCTGCAAAAACTTATATCAACCAAATCAGTAAACACTTTCAAGGCGAAGCCGCATCTTCACTGAACTATGTTTAAAGGTGTAGGCGAAATCGATGGGGTCTACATGATTATTGTAACCGTTGGTCACAATCGTTAGAAAATGAGGAGGTGCAATTACTTTTTCATTTCTTCAGGAACATTGTTTACGAGGCCTACTGATACTTTTATTTCCTTTCTAGATAGATATTTTGTCATCAAAAATGTTAGTAACATGCTGCGATTTGGATCGAAATGATTCAAATTCACTGCACTCATGTGGCACTGAAACTCCAGCCAACACACTTGTTAGGCTCCGAAGCTGCATGATAATGACAGAATATTAGTGGGAGCATTGTTCACCAAAAAACATACCTGATATATTTGAATTGCACAGGATGGCTTAAAGTACGGATACGACATGTAAAACGATTACCTAATGTAATGCTATATTGTAAATAGGCCGTAACTTGCTTAAAAATATCCACAGATAAGTGAGTACAGGGTTATTCAATATGCCTAAAGCTTGTAAAATTGACAATCAGATCCATATGGTCATTGATAACCAAACGGATTACCATGATTTGCTGCTGATAACTATTCGACACTGCACTTCCTACAAGTTGCTGGACGTGACAAAAAGTTGAAATTAAAATACCAAATAATTAACATGAAAAGCGACTTACTAGTAAAGGAAACTACGGGACCTGCTATTCTGAGTGATTTTATTACACACGCGGTTGGTGAATGTCTGAAAACATAACCTCATAATCTAATCGGTTTCGTAAGTCATTCGAATGTACTTCATACTCAAGGTCGTGCCACTAAAACAACGGTTACAATGTCAAATATCCTTAAAATGATTGAAAAGGGCAGTTTAGTAAAAAGCTAGTAACTTTTAGAAAGAGATTTATTGGGATTGAGATTAGGAAAATAATGATCACCATAAGATCATTAACCAAAGTAAAAAGGTCAAAATCTACAAAAAGAATCAGTGATTCCGCTATATCGCATACTCTTCATATATTAAACTAACCATGCGTTAACATAACCTGTATGCAGATTCGTTCTCATATATTTAATGTTTGTTGGAATCCACCCACGATTCCGGACAGCGGCAGGAATCGTTTGTGTCCAATGTTTTTACTAAACTGCTGTGGCTTAGTAAACTCTCACGATGTTTCTAGCCTTCTTCAGCTCGGGCTGACTTCATATTCCGTTATGCGGAATTCAAAGGATTTAGGGCATCACAGTATTGAGTGGTTGTTTCACCAAGAAACTTACTTTGAGGGCAGCTCTGGCCTTGTTTGAAAGTCTCAAGCCCGGATTAAGCAGAAACGTTGTGCTTGGGGTTGACGACCTCATCATGTAGAAAAATTTTGACAAGAAAAAGTAAATTGAGACATTTAAACTCCACTCTGGGAATCGGTATGTCGTTGTTAAGAAGAGTTATCACGTCTCATGATGAAAGTGGACCCCATGATAGACCCAGTTTGATCACATTGTAATCCGTCAACGGTGAAGAGGCCCCTTTGATGATTACCGCTCATTCTGGAACGCTTAGTTAAATTCAAATCATTTTCTAGTCTATGCGTGTACTTGCTGCATACCAGAGGTAGGAATGACACCAAGAGGAAACCTCTTCGGATCCTGCTTAATGGCAGCACAGCTAAGAATATATTTCAGGAGCAACTAGGAAAACAACCAGGTGACCATGTAGGTGATTGCTACGATGAGGCAGCTTGACAAGACTTCCAAAAAGTTTTGGAAATAGCAGTGATATCTGATAGTACATTAAACCATAAGGTTGATGAAAAGTTTTAGATCTCAGTAGCATCTCCTGAACTTAAAGCAGCTTGGAAGCATCCTTGTCTCCGAACATAACTAAGAGCGAGGACGGAACTTCATCCACATGATCTGAAGTCAACCTGAGTGGCAAAGCGATGTAAGTCCTCCGAGCCCTTATGAGAAATCTAAAGCCAGAGATAGGCGCATGTCCTGACTTGGCTTACACGTGAGATTTTTAAGGATGATGATCCAGTTTCAGTAGTCAGACTGAATAAAATCTTAAGTAGAATTTCAGAATTAGGTGTAATTCCAGATCTGGTCTCTATTTTCGCTTATTTCAATTCTTAAGAAAGTGCAAAAGTTTTCGTGCGACAATCACAGAGGACTCAGTCTAACCGATATAGCGTAATAAATATTGGACTCAATAATATTTGGACGCTTAGCGGAAGCTCGTTAGGACCAGACTATAGGACAAAAGGCTGGTTTTCTGCCTAGATATGGGTGTCTAGACCAAATACTTACATTGTGTCAGGTCATAGGACAAAGACACGTTCACATGCCACGCAATGATGGTATTTGTTGACCTAGAGACGGCATTCGACTGTGTTGGTCGTGATGTTCTGCGGCAGTGTCTGTCGTCATCACCAAAGACGTACATTTACCCTATAAATGATCTCTACTCGAACAGAACCGGTCGAGTGAGGGTTTATGGTGAACTGTCATCTGAATTGACTACTTCAAGTGTTGTCCGTCAGGTCTTCACACCCTCCTCATTCTTGTTCGAGTTTGTCGTAGATGCTTTTAGAGTTAACATTTTCTAAGTCTGACGTTTCATACTTACTTAGTTACGCCTATTACCCCCAAAAGAGCATAGGCCGGCAACCAGTTTTCGCCAACCAACATTTTCTACGCCTGAGTTTTCAGAAGTGGACCTTATATCAGGAGACTCACCTGTAGACTTGATCAAGACACTGAAAAAATGTAGATCCTTCTGATTACCCTATGCAACAGTGAAATCATGATCGGGATGCTTTTTTGCCATTCGAAATGCAATATTTTTGATTGGCAACTGAACTGGTGATAGGGATTGAAGCAGTTGAGCTTGTTGACCGCTTCACTTATTTTGGGAGTCTGATCACTGCCTAATTTCTCCGATTACTGTTAGAACTTCTACCGCCCCTGCTACTGGGGGAATTGATTTGGTAACTGCGTATGTGTTCGGCGACCTCATCTCAGTCAGTCAGTCAGATGCAACGTAGAACTTCGTACGTACGTAAGTACATCAGTTCATGTTGCCATACCACATCAGCACAGAGATATAATTGTCAATTCAAATCCAATAGTAGAAGAGGTAGTATAGGTACTAGAAGTAATCGGAGAGGTTAGGATTAGAAGATATTATTCAAGAAGTATGATTCAGTGAGATAAGTTTAGAAAGTCAAAAGTAGAGGTGTTGAAGAATCCAGAAGATGAGGATTTGAGAGAACACAAAGAATTAATGCACCGAGGCCATTGCGAACGATTTTGAGCCATGTCATTCAAGGTCTCTAACCATCGATTATTATCATCTCGCGGACCCCAAACAGGTAGTTGACAACTACCGACATGGCTAAGTCCACTCGTCAATGACTTCATGGATTTGTGCCATGTTTTGGTTTGGCCGCCCCTAACTTTCTTCCAACCTACTCCTACACTACAAAACAAATTTCGTCGAGGCAGTCTGTGGTTGAGCATGCGTAACACATGTCCCAACCACCTCAACTGATGGAGTGTTAGTACTGCGTCTATTGATCTGTATCCGAGTTGAGATTTCGTCAGTCACCAGGCCATTGGCAGTGATGAGACTGCCAAGATAATTCAAGCGGTCTCTACGTTCGACTACTTCACTCCCTATCACTAGTTCAGGTGCCGATGCAACCCAATCTTGAAGCAACAATTTGCATTTCTAGGGGGAAAACCGCATCCCGACCATGCTCGCATTGTTACCTAGGGTAGTCAGAAGACTCTGCATTTTGTCAGAGTCTTCACCAAGTAGGACTATGTCATCGTCATATTCTAAGTCAATAAGCGAGCAAGCAGGTAAAAGGTCTACTCCTGAAAATTCAGACGAGGATGAGGTTATTTCTAGGAGCATGTCTATGGTAAAATAAAACAAGAATGGATAGAGTGGACATCCTTGACGGACACCACTTGAAGTGGAGAATTCCGGTGACAGTTCGTCATAAGCCCTCACTCGACCAGTAGTGTTCGAGTAAAGAGCTTGTATGAGGTTAATGTACGTTTCTGGTACACCTTTCAACGACAGACACTGCCACATAACCTCACGATCCACTGAGTCAAATGCCGCCTTAAGGTCCAGGAAAACAACTATTGCAGGACGACTAAATGTGTGTCTATGTTCCAGGACCTGTCGTAGTGTGAAGATGTGGTCTATACAACCACGTCCAGGTCGAAAACCAGACTGGTATTCCCGAGTCTGCTCTTCACGAGCTTTCGTTAGGCGCCGAATATTATTGAGGCCAATATTTTAGATACTATATCCCTAAAGTGTTCTGCCCATCGATCCAGTCTCCTGGATTGAGAATAAATAATAGTCCCGTCATTTCCCGAGATAGT